CTATTAATAGTAACATTATAGTGGTCTATACATGATCCTGAATAGCTCCAATTAATTAATAAGGCATCATTAGTAATAGCAGTAATAGCTAAACTACTAACTGGTGTTATTGGTGGACCTGTTATAATTATATATTATATTATCATGTGTATGCTGATACAAACCTGCTATATTAATAGTTAATGTATCATAATTTACTGCACCACTTGAACAACCAATAGTACTTCCATTCAATTGTACTGGAACTGATAGATTAGTAGCAGCACTGACTAGTACATCATTATCATAACTTGTAATACTTAATGTAAAGTCATCAAGTGGAGGAATTGTTCTACCAACGGTTAAAACTGCAACGAGCTGATTGTTATTCCTTCTCCATACTACTCCTCCTCCTGTACCTTCCACTACACAAGTGAACACTAGTTTATCTCTAGGACACACAACTGGATAAGGAGTGTGATTAAATGAGACAACACTTTGTCCTGTTACTATATCAAAACATAAATCAATGCTTTAAGACTTTTCACTGACCTAATACAAGAAAACACAAACATTCAGTCAATACAAGACACCAGTAGATACCAGTAGTAGCCATTAGTACATCAATAAGAGAAATGAGAACTGAAATACTGTTATGATACATAAACAGTAAGCAATTACTTACTTAACTCAAAGCAGTGCTGCTGTTGTTCTTTATTGTACCTACAGCAGTTACACCTACTGGACTACTAGTGTGTGGTTACTCATGCTGTCATAACAATTAAGCACATGATGTGCACGTAGTTACACAAGACTAATGTGCCTACAGGATTGCATGTACATAATATAGTAATTAAGTAAAGTACAATCTCAGTTAATGTAATACTGAGATATGAAATTTTTTCTAGATTTTATGGGTATGCGTTAAAATATTATGAGATTGTTGACTTTTTATTTCATAAATTAGTTTGTCCATATGCAGTGTTGAGTTTAGTATCAATGATTTGTTCTTGTTGTTCAGTATTGATTGTTGGTAAATCATATATTGGACCAATAACTGCTGCTTCTCCTCCTCCTCCTACTGGAGTTTTATATTGTATTGTAGTCCCTCTCTTTTTCATTATTAAACATACAATGATACTAGTAATTATTGCAGTAATGAGTCCAGTTAATAGACCAGTGATAGGTACAGCAATAGCAACTGTGTGTGTGTGTAATAGATTAGATACACTTAATGTATTAACTAACCACTAATGGATCCTACATCTGTTGATTGTAACATTGTTGTGGTAATACATGAAGAATAACCTAATGAACAATGTGTTCACTGTATGTATTGATTATTGTAACTTACTGTCAGCACAACTACTGATTGTTTCAGTTACTGTGTTTGCTGTCACAGCTAAACTCTTATCTTGTGTTGTGATATACTCAGTAGTATGACCTAATAAAAGTGAATATATATTTGATTTATAGATTAATACTCATTTTAGTGCTTATTTTGTGGATAATAACTTCTATTAGATCTAAGTTCCATTAAAATTTGTATGCCACATGCTCTCAAATGAATTACTTCACAATATTTTATGTCCACAAACACAGTACATATGCTATTTGGTTGCCTACTTTCAACTGCTGATTGTGTTTTTGTTGATACAATTAATACTGAACTGGTAGTATGTAGTGTGATATACTCAGTAGTAGTAATAGTACTCGTCATCATGCTATTGCTGCTTGATACATCTTTTGTAATTATACTAACTGTAAGGGAATTGCACAAGTAAAATAATAGTAAAGTATTATTATCATTCCATAATATTCTAACCTGAAGATACTGATGAAATACTTGTAGTTATGTTGACTA